TCTTCCTCACAAATTGTTTGTACGTAAAGAGCGCTCTGATTTCTGCTTTAGCCGAATTTAACGTAATTTCTACTTAGACCAAAAAGATTTTATCCCTAATGTAATTTATTCTTTTGAACATTTTTGCTCCCCAGACCCTGCATTAGATAGTTACTCTGGCATCTTGTAGCTTTAGCAGTGAAGGACCTACTAATTTCCGGCCTAAATTTATTCATGGCCAGCTTATACCCATTTGTTCTTGTGTCAACATTGTTCTTTAGTTTAAATTGCTCTTTTGCCTTCCTAGTGTTTATCCTCCTGATGTATTTATAGACTGCAGTCATATCTGCTATCAGCCTTCATTTTGCTAGACTAAACAAGCCAAGCTTTCCTGGCCTCTCTTCCCATGATGGGCTCTTCACTCCGGCACCTGGTCGCATCCGGGCTGCTCTGCGGCGAGTCCCCGTGACCTGGACCACGCACAGCCTCCAGATGAGCTCTCCTCAGTGCCCGGCACCGTCAGTTAACGCTGCCGAATCCGCGGTGTTAATCCTGCACACGATGCCGTTGAGGGTCACGCCTGCCGCGGGCAGGCAGCGGGACGTCGTGCCGGTCCTGCTTGCTCGTGTCCGATAGACTCGCTTCCATAAAAGTTTTGTTATTGGTCCCCCGCCGCATTATCTTTTATTTTGTGCCATTTAATCACGTCTTATTTCTGTTGTTTAGTTTTCAGGTTACCCTTCTTCCCAGCTGTTCCCTCCTCTCTCCGTACAGCTCACCGCTACCTTTTTAACCAAGTCCTTAGTCAACTTCCCCTTAACCAGCTTAACCAATTTTCAGCTAATTCCCATCTTCTCAAAGGTAGCTAGTGTATTTCTTTGTGGCACTGTATCAGATGACTGACAGAAGTGTAGACAGATGACATGTGCCACCATTGCTTTAATTATTCTTCCTTTCAGAAATTTTTCCTTCAATAGCCCTGCATATTGTTGAGGTCAGACTAAGAGTACTGCGGTTATCAAGATCACTTCTTTTCCCCTGCTTAAGTAGAGGTAGCACGTTTAATTTTCTCTAGCATGAGGATTTGCTAGATGTATTAAAAGTAGTTGCCACTGGATCTTCCAGAAACTTTGGTGGGGCTGGGACTTCAGTCTGCGTTCCACTTAGGGGCAGAGACTCAGTTCTTTAATTCCACAGCATTGTCATCAGAGCAAACATATAGTAACTCTTTCATTTCTCTGGGTTTGGCCCCTTATTTATTTCCATGCTGTAGTTTCTGCCCTATGCTATTTAAAATGTCACTTTTGTTCAGAACGGAGAATATGCAAATTATTCTGCATGATGAAAACCCCATCAAGAAAATGTCTCATATGCTTGGGGGCATAGGGCTGCTTTTTTTTTTTTTTAATAGTTGCAATGATAGTAATAATAGTAGGATAACAAACTAAGATGCCCCTGGAGATGTTGTGACAAATTGGAGAGACATGTTGAAATTGAAATTGATTGAACAGTTCAATAAAATCAGCTTAATGCTTGAAAGCAAAAAGGTTAGCTAGAGAAAAACAAAAAATCAGTAATTTCGTGTCTGTGGGGCCAGTCTCGGTGAAGACTGAATGAGAGACAGACCAAAACAAGATCATAGAAGTGCCACTCTTACATGCCCAGACTGTAGGCATTCAGTTGAAGTTGGACGTGGGTGCCAACTGAGTGCCCTAACGGCTCAGCAAATCTCCATCTACTTTCTTGTAGGTGTTTTTTCTGCTTTATACAACTTTACATTCCAGCCAGGATAATGCAGATTCTCCATTTCCAATAGCATTATGTGCTCTAAATGCAATAGTTGTAGGTTAGCTGACGGAAATCGGTGCCACTCTAGCAATTTCCCTCAAGCTTATACCAGCGGTTAAGCTCTCTCGCTGTGTCCCCGATTGCTCTCGCTGGTGCTATCCTGAGATATGGTGCCCATCACAGAAACACATCCGTTCCAGGAAGGGTCCTACTTGAATAAGTCCATCACACCTTCTCAGTAGGCTTGGACGCTGTACGCGCTCTCTTGCCTGTACCCTCTCTTCCCATTCTCGTGAGCAAGCTTTTTGTGGCTGGTATCATTTAGTAGCTACCTGATTTTTGGACATTTTCATTTCTGGCTTTGTATTATCTGATTGTAGTGGTCTCTCTTTTAAATTTCTCTAGTTTAGTGTTCTGAATACGTTTGGGGGTTTTGGTTAACTCTGGGCTAAGATGCTCGGTGAAAGGCATTTTGTTAAATAAACTTTCCTGTGAATATGGGACTCACTCGTAACAAAGGGTGTTGGAGTACACACACATGCGCATGCGTGCATATCTAGTCAGAATATATATATATATATATATATATAAAAGATTTGTATTTGTTTATGTAGCAAAATAGTGAAATCATCACAACTTTTAAACGAGACTTTCAAACGCTTTCCCTCCTCTTCTCCGAGATGATTCATTTTCCCAGTGGAAGCGCTCGCTGAGAGCTGAATGAAACAACCTGAAAAAGAGCTGCTGTCAGTGGGAGCTTGGCAGGCGAGATGCCGATATGAATAAGTACCGTCGAGATTGAGCGTGACCTTCTGCAAGGTCTGCGGTCGGTTTCGGAGTTCGGGCTGAAGTTGGCGTAACGGTGTCATGAGTTCCCGAATGGCTTTTGACACCGTCGCGGAGCTGCCTTCGCCGTGCCCTCGCTGGAGGCCGGCCAGCGCGACAGCGGCAGCGAGAGCCTCTGACAGTCCCGCCTTGCTCCAGTGGCTCCGCCGGCACGTGGTAACCTCCAAGCCCAGCGACCATAAAGAGGTCGCTTTGCCAGGGTAAAATAGCAAACTGCAAAGTTAACAAAGAAACTCCCCTGCCAGTGGAGAATGGTTTTATCGCCCGCTTCTTTGAGGGAAAGGAAGGAAGATTTTCTTCCCCCACCCTCCCGCGGTAGCTGCTGAAGCACTGAAGCTTTGACAATGACGTGCGACAGCTCTACCATCAAACCGGAGACGCGCCGTCTCACCGCAGTGAGGAACATTAGAGGTGGCTTCGCCATTTAAATGCGCTATTGAAATGTGGTCTCTAAGGCGGGCTTCCAAACCGTTTTTCTAATTTACGTGGAGTCTGACTGCCGGTATTTCTTAAATCTCTTTCCTCCTTTGTGATTTAAAGCTAATTCAGCTCACAAGCGTTTGGGCCGTTCGGAAACACTTACATCAGTCTCCTAAATTCTCTGTAAGGGAGAAAGAAGGAAAAGCTAAATACAAGACAAGAGTTCGTATTCATTAATAAGGATGTATCAGCCTTATGATTTCCCCGTGCTTTACAAATAAAGTAGTGGCTAGCATCTTTTTGTATGAGAAAAACAGAGGCTAATGATAGTTTTCTCTCTCATGTTTTACTGTAGAAGATGACAGGAGACGTAATGGAGGTGCGTTTCCGTAATATATTCCAACTGCAAGGGCCTGATGGATCCTTATGTGTGATGTCATGTCATTTAGCAGGCTAATATCTGTCAATTAGATGTCCTTGAATCAAGATAAAGATAAAATTCAGCAACTCGGAAAGAATTAAACTACTTACAGCGCTATGAGAATATTTATATTGGGGGAAAGAGGCCTAACTGACCAAATTCTCACATTCTGAAGTGTCAAAGGAGCTACATGTAACACCAGGACAAGAAAAGAGCAGCCCACTCTCCGGTATCTGAGCGGGATGCCAAAAGCAGGATGCAATGTAGCGTGCCGGTGGCTCCGCCGAACTCTTTTCTCCCGTTTAATCCCCTCTGCCAGGCTTTGCGCAAAGCTTTTCCTGCGTAACTTTCTTGCCTCTATTTCCACATCCCTGGCACTGGCCCTGCGTGCCAGTCCGCTCCCAGGAGGCTCCCGAGCAAGCCCCGTGCCGCGCTCCCCTTCCTCCTGCTGCTCTTCCTCGCGGGAGCTCGTATCCGCTCTCCCGCGGCACAGTGAATAACTCGCCAAGAGCGAGGGCCTCAGTGGTTGTGGCACAGGGTTTCGCTTTGCCCTAAATCTGACAGGTTTTGACTGGATCCCTCCTTGGTTCTTTGCACAACGCTTTGGCCGCACGTATTTCAGGACCGGAGCTGCGCTTTCATACCTGCCTATAAAGCGCTTTGTGCACTGTTAGCATGATGCGTGCAGGCATCAGTAGTAAATTCTGCAGATCCAGATGAAAATTTATGGTTTGAGGCCAGTTTTAAAGATTAGGAGGCTTTTCTCAGTGCAGGCAGATATTCCTAAGTACGGAGGCGTCCCAGGGAGATTTACACAACATGCAGACCGAGATGTTGCTCTTTCCTATTTTATTTTTTTCAAATTTACTTTCCGGCTGCATTGACATACAATGTAGGTGTCTTTGGTAAGAACTTTAATACCTGATGTTTTAGCTTGCTCTTTTAAGACTTTTTCCTTGATAGCCAGGTTGTTTGGGACATTCAGGAATTTAAAATAGTTCAATTGAGCTTTTGTCTGTGATATTGAATTTTTTTTTCGTACTGGATTTGCTTTACTTCTCATTTACTAGGACTGAAACATGGGGAGCGTTGTAAGTATCAAAGCACTTTGTGGGCATCAAACTGCATGAGCAGATCTGGCTGGAAGGCTACTAGGCAATGCTGCTATCAGTTTTTGAATGTTTTTGATGATGTTCAGTGTTTCAGATGATGTTTCAGTGGAAACAAATTAGCCAGATTTTTACTAGTTTACTGGTTTTCAGAAGACAGAAACTAATGTTGCTAATAATGCTTAAAAGTTAGCCAGAAACCCTGCTTCAACCAAAGATTTTTGCCCATAAGATTTTTCTTCCTTATAAAAACAGGTGATACCACCAATCTATGCAAAAATGCCTTCAAAAATATGATAAAAAATTTTTATCTGTCTTTGCTATTAACAATTTGAATGTTAATAAAGTTCTTAGTCTGCCTTAAGACTGCACTTGTAGAAAGGGAAATAAACCAAGGCTTTTTACGGGATGCATTTTTGTTTCTCTTCTTTTTTCAGAAAGTTCAGCAGTATATAGTCATCGTTCAAGCCACAGATATGGAAGGAAATCTTAACTACGGTCTCTCCAACACGGCAACTGCAATCATCACGGTGACGGATGTGAATGACAACCCGCCCGAATTCACTACCAGCACTGTAAGTATCGATGCATCAGCACAGTGACGCGTGGACACGCAATGTGTTTGCGGTGCGCAGATGTTCACATCAGTCGTCTCTCTTTGCCAGTTTGGCAGACAGAAGGAACTTGATAGCTGACCGTGGAACAAAGACTTTCAGGAAAAAAAGGGAAAGAAAAAAAAGGGAAAGAGAGAAAGAAAATTGATTCATGAACTAACAAAACTATGTGGCGACCAATTTCAGTGAGGTACTAAAAGCTAAAATAATGTGGCAAACAGACTATGTCTGATCGCACCGAAGAGAATACAGTTGTTTCACAGCAATTGGCTGTAGACATATCAGAGTTATTACTACTTACGAGTGAAATCCTAAGCAGTAAGAGATTTTTTTGGGTTAAGTAGCTTGGATACAATTTCAAAGAAGCAGTAAATACTCTAAATGGTAACGGTTATCCGGTAAAATTTATATTTCACTGATAACTATAACAGATGTATTTGCGTGCGCTGGCAGTAAATGTGTAGGCATACTTCAGTACATCTGTTTTTAATCAGTTTAAGATCTTTCTTATGTGAGCACAATATTTCTCCTCCATTCTCATGTGCTGCAAGTCTCTATCATTGGGGAAGAAGGGGAAAAAAATTAAGAGATTGCAAATTGCAAACTTTTGAGCTGATTAAGACGATAATGAAAAAACAGAAGGTGAAATGATGTGGTCTGTTTCTTTACAGCCATCATAATCCATAGAGGTAGAGCATCCTAAATATGAATAGTAGTTTTAGAAACCACAAAAGAGTATAGGGTTCTGTATGCTGGGAAATGATAAATCATTGTATTTCCACATTCCGTATTTATATAAAGGTTAACAAGGAAAGGGAAATGATGTATTTGAAACTGATACCAAACCTCTAAAAATGTAGAAAGTCAAATTGCATTATGTTCATGTCACTGAATATCCTTTCAGAAATAATATGTTATTACTTGTGTTATCGTAAATTTTCATTCCATCTCATAGGATATACAAATATTTATTCCTAGGGGAAATGCCAGATTTCCCCCTTAGTTATACCCTTCCAATCCAAGAATATTCAGCAGAACTCAAGGAAATCATAGAAAGCTCAACTTAGGCCCCCATGGATCCAGATCGGCCCCGTGCCCGCTGCGGGGTCTGCGTTCCTTCCTTCCCGATGCCATCAGCGACCAGGGCTCTGTCTCAAGACGCGCTGGCTCCTGAGCAGTGCCAGCACCTTGGATCTAGATCCTCAAAAAGAGGGAGGCACTAAACTCCTCCCGGATCAGAGAGAATTGGGCTACTGAAGCATTTTCAGGTCTGGGCCTTAGTCCACGCCGTCTGTGTTGCTGGTCCCAAGGGTTTAGCTTGTATTTTACAACAGCACATGCGCTTCATATCTGTCACAGTGCATGCATTGATCTTTACATTCTGAAGTTGTCATTAAATATCTCCTAAAGTATGATACGTATAGTTCTGGAGAACCATAAAAATCTGATACGAGTCTCGGTCCATATGGTCCTTTCTCCTGCCAACACGGGGTTGTTCTGTCTTGAAGATTTTGTAGTGGATAGTCTAATGCAGTCTTCCGTCTCCCGAGCCATGGCACGTTCTACCACAGCTGTCTGCGTGCCCCATATTTTAGGGAGCCCTTATTCTGCCAGGTAAATGCTTCTTTAGTCTTCATGTGAGTGAAAAAGTAATGACATCTAGTGGCCACGTCGTTTAAGCACAGGATCTTCAGGGTGACCCAGGTTGCCTGGTCCTTGTCTGCAGCTGGAGCTGGGAGGGGAGGTTTGAGGTAGCAGCGTTAGCTGCACTGGGGTTAGGCACACGCTCCCCTCCGGACCTTGTGGGGCTTGTGACACGTGTCTGGTGGTGGTATATTTTTTAATCTTTCCCAAACGTTTTCCAAAGCTGAATCTGATGGAAGGTGAGACCATGCGAATTTGCTTTCAGGTGAATTCTGAGTATTTAATGTCTCAGCATGTGTTAGACCTAGAAGGAATAAAACCCACCAAGACAATTACCTACAGAGTCGTGTTCAACGGATCTGAAAATGCTGCTCTTCCTCTAAGCAGGGCTGATGTTTTCCATTAATTCTCTAATTTAAATCATTGAAGAAGGAGTTTTGCAAGGGCCGGAGGGCTTTATTTAGTAGCACATGGGACTTTAAAGATTTGAAACCCAAGGACATTTTCCAATATTATTTTCTAGTTTTATGGAAACAAATATCTTTGATATACTCCCAGGTATAGCCAGGATGCAATTTTACGTGAGTATGAATGTATAATATGTTTTTTCCTGTGACTGGCATAGAGAACAGCATCAGGCTGATCAGTCTCTTTCTTTAAAACTAAACTGAATCTCCTTGCTGTCCCCAAATGGTCTGATCTCCATTTTAACACCTTTAGAAAATAGCAAAAAAATATTTCCAGGAAATCCACAGCTCTTCAGAGGGTAAGAAAGCAGGGTAAGAAAGCAAAGGATCTCTTGTAAGAGTAGGGGCTGTTGGAGGGATGAATATATTGATATTTAAAATACTTCTGCATTGAAATGCTGTTGTAAAAACAAAGTAGGCCGAATAACTTAAATAGTGGTCTGCTCTTGGAAAGTTGCCACATGAAAGGAACTATATTCAAGCACAGGAACATAGAGGGGCACACCCTATAGTGTGCCTAAATTACCTGTCATTCAACCAGGGTGGTTTTAGACTTAATAGTTTCTGGATATAAATGTAGCTCAGGAGGACAGTGCAGCATGCGAGTATCACAGCTCATATATTCAGCAGCAGGAAAGGAGAAGGAAAACAGCCACTGGGATGGACAATAACGTCAGATTGTCTCTGTAGTCAGGCGCTCCATTTGTTCGAGAGGCTAACGAGACTTCATGCATGGACCGAATGAAAGCTCAGACACAGGCGGATGAGTGCCAAAATTGCCTGTCAAGGAGAGCAGATGACCTGTGGAGATATTTTGGTTAACGGGCGTCCAAAATATCACATGTGCTGTGGTAAAAATTTAGTGCTAGATGAGAAATGAAGCAATAAAAGCACATGGAAGATCCTTTAAATATACAAACTGAAGGCACTCCAATAAAACTCAGAAATCATTGTTTGCTAACATGAAAGTGGATCAATATGTTTTTCATATTCTTTAGTACATCGCTTGAAAGCCCAGGGAAGGATCCTGTACAATAGCAGGAGAAGAAGAAGCTCTACCTTCTCATACAAAGGATTCTGAAGTTATATAAAAAAAAAAATTGCAGTCTCTAGAGGAAACAGAGTTTTCAGCTAAAGTCAACCATTAGCTTTAAGTCCGATCACTGCACAGTCTCCATCCATGGAGAGCCATGATCAGGTTAGGACTACCTGCATCAAACTCGCCAGCTCTGGGGCACAGAGGATGCGGTGACCTCCTCCAGCCCTCCCAGCTCTGGTTTTCGTGCTGGAGATGAGTCCTCCATTTGCTCCAGTATTTGATGGTGCTGGGAAGCATCAGAGAGCAGCCAACAGTGGGGAAACGTCCCATAAGATAACTGCATCCAAGTGGGAAACAAGTCCATCTACACCAGAAGAGTGGAGTAGCCTGTGAAACACTGTAAGCATCGGAAACAGCCGTTCGGGGGGGACCTGTGACCCAGGGAGCTAGCTGAGGGACTGAGCAACACCCATCAGCTGATATAAAACTATGGAGTTTTAATTTTACAAAGGTCTTGTAGAAAGTTTTACTAGGACGCTGGCTCAAAGACTGTTACAAGCACCATATACTGGAATCAGTAAATCAGGGTGCCCTCAGTTACCCAAAGTCCCTGTTACCCCTAACAGGGTCGTGTCCTCCGACATTTCTTAATTATGTGAAAATTCCTCTGCCTTCCTTCAAATATTTATCTGCTGTGCACAGACAAGTTGCTGTTTTTCCATATGAATATAGATCTGTAGCTGAGCCTCTGTCCAGATGTTCACCTCAGATAGAGAGGAGCACACTAAAATTAATATCCGTGCTTCAGAGATTAGAAGTCAGCTGAGAGAGAGCAATGCTGGATAGTCTCAGGTGGGACTTTATGCAAGGTGGCGGCACTTTTTTGCTCACTGAAGAGCTACCTTTAGTTCCAGTGCAATCTTTAATTCCTCTCAAGCAGGATGCCCTTTCCACTCTGACCCATGATACTGTTAATAGCCATCCCAGGGCTTCCACTTTATCTAAGGAAATGCATAATCAGAGGGGAGGAGAAGTAAAAGAAATCCATGCCTACACTTGACTCATATAAAGTCTATTTTTATCGTATTCAATCAGGAACAATCAGGCACAGAGAGGAGACGCAGATGAATTTGCATGATCAGACTTCTGTGTCTTAAATGTTAATTAAAAGTTATTTTAAATTTGCCTACTGTGCAGAACTTGTTTTTATAGTAGCCCATGCAAGGGAAACATTATTTCACAGGACTGAAGTGCTCATGATTAGTTAGGCTTGTGGATTCTTGGGAAAACCTGCCTGGCAATCAACCTCTCCTTTAAAAAAAATGAAAGAAAAGGGAGGAAAAAAAAAAAAAAGAAACTGGGCTATTCAAGTTCTTTAAGCTCCTGAGCCTTAGGAGGTCTTATTTAAAGCTACTTTAAAATTTGCCCTTTGGCACTGCTTTGAGAATTTCCTCTTCTGAGGCTGAATCCAGTGGAGCATATTTTAAAGAGACAGCTCGAGGGCCGTTTCCCTTTGCTGCTGTGCTGTCTCTCCGAATGGTCACGGCCCTCGCTCCCGTTAGGAGCAGCTCCAAAGGTTTAGACCGAACTCTCTGGCCTGGGTGAGGAGGAGAGGGAGCTGACTCAAGTCCCCTTTCCAGCTCGCAGTGCTGGAGGGGGATGTTTCATCTTGCTGTCATGGGAAAGGGCATCTGGCAAAGGGCTGGCTGTGAACTCCAAGCGAAACAGCAGTAGTAGAATAACCTAAGCATGGATAGATGCTCTTGTTCTCGGAGAAGACGTATTGCTGGTTGAGGCTGCTCTCGCTGCAG